ATTCAAATGTCGACCACAACTTGTTCTAGGCCTGCTCTTTTGCGTTTCCTTCTCCTACCTCTCATTTTGGATATGTATAAACGTAATTCCTGAGATGCAACCAAGTGACCGAAGGCTGACCAATTTTTTGCTGTTTCCCTCCGTTCCATATTAAGAATATTTGAAACTCTGATTCCCAGACACGATTTATTCGGAACTCGCTGAAATTTTTATTTTTGCCTCAATTTGAATGTTACTGCAGTTATTGTCTAAGCCTAACCGCCAATTTATGTTACATCCACTTTGAAAATAGGAGAGCCTGGATAGGCGGCGCTTTGGCCGTATCCGCTTTCTGGATCGATACTTGGTACTAATTGCCAACAGTACCAAGTACTGATCCAGAAAGCGGATACGGCCAAAGCATCGCCTATCCAGGCTCTCCTATTTTCAAAGTGGATGTAACATAAATTCGTCCAATGGAAAATAAAGTGCAATAAGTGTGTTTAATTATATAGAAGGATTAGATTATGGTGTGGCGCTAAAGCGTAGTGTTGAAACGAAATAACTAGAAAAAGTAATCAAAAATAATAAAATACTCGGTAAGAAATTAGGCAAGAAAATGCAAAAACGCGTATTTACACGGTAAGAATGGTGTTTTCGTTTCGATTCCAGTGTGTGAGCGGAGGAAAAACAAAACTTTGAGGAAGTTTTGTCGAACTCTCTTGATTTTCATTCGACTATTTGTACTGGCTTACAAAAATCAAACTTGACTGGAAAAAACGCGTCATAAAATCCACAGAAAGTTGCGCGGCGAGCTTTGGAATTTTAGAATTTTCAGGAAGCAAATTGTTGCTGATTCTGGACTGACCGAATTTTTCCGGCTGTCGCTCTGAAATTTCTAATTTTTAAAGTTACGAAGAAAATTTCCTGGAATCTAAATGTTCTCTCAGCTAGGCCTTGATATTTTCATTCCAAGAAATTGCTCATATTCGGCAGAATCCTCACAAGAGTCCTGGACATCTAACTCGGCAAGAAATTCTACTGTACTGATTTTTGGTACTTCTGTTGAAAATTATCGAAAGCAGCCGTTGATAGCACTTTCATCTTGCAAACGCCTTCAGTATAATTTGAAGTAATAATGATTCATGATGATTTTCGTCATCTTCATGGCCATATACGTTGCTGTTACAGGTAATCAACATCATGCGAAATTTGCTCGTAATGGTTAAAAGTTTGCAAGTAAAACTTCAACTAAACTTTTTTTCATAATTGTTATCTTCTTATTGGCTTAGACTGATAATAATAATAATAATAACAACAATAATAATAATAATAATAACAGTAACAATAATAATAATATTAATAATAA